TTCACAATAAAGTGTACATTTAAAATTTTTTTTTATTGAAAACAATATTGTACGTGTCGTTTTGTTATGTTACACTTTTGTATCTTACAATGATAACGTAACTCGAAAACATTTTACACATTACTATATGTTTATAATTCGTCTTGAGAAGATTGTTAAAGATTTTCTGGCATCATAAATGTATCTTGACCAGAATAGAGATTCTTTGTGTTCATTCCGTGGCGGCAGACGCTAAAAAATTTGCAGACGTTATATTGGCAGTAAACTCTCAGTGCATTCTGATTTATGAAGATGCAACATTGAAACTAAACGAATATTTTATTACTTCAACTCGACCCAAACGTCGCGCGTATACGTCATCTTCCGAAGAAAATCCAACACGACACTCTTGTGACTTTTTAGAGCTTTTTAATGGTTCTTTCATTTTCTTCTTAATGTTAATATATATTGTAGTTTCAAATGTTGTACTACTTTCTTATTTGGGTGTTTCAAAATAATCACTGTTAATTAAAATGACACCTATCGCTAATTAACCTTCTGCCAAGGTTGAGCCAGCGTATTTTATAACCATCTGCCAGTCTTTCGACGATCTTAGCCCTACTTTCAGAAATCATTTCTGATTCTTTTATTTCATAGACTAAGAATTAATTTTGTGGAGTTAATTTTTAAACAAGTTTGCAAAGCCATGACATTATTTATTCATTTATATTAAAAGCAACAATTCTCCAATTCCATATATAAAACGTGGGTAAAAAACAATCCCCAAGAAAAAAGATTGACGCGTAATGATTTAATTAAGTAATTATGTAAATTAATGAAAGCATAATACGTTTTTACAAATGGTAAATTTGACGAAAAAAGAAGAAGTTCATTAAGACATGAAGTGAAGCCGATTCGAGGAGTTCCAGGAAAAAGTGTTTCCTAAGCCATCGAGTTGTCCCGATTACGATTTGAGATCGTTCCTTGTTAAGAAGAGACTCGTGGAACAGGGGATGGAAAAAAGGATGAGAAATGATTGAAGATTGTTTTTTCGGGCTTACCTGCTGCCAATGATGGCAACTGTACACGACGGGACGCCGTTTGACGTTAAAGGAGCATCGTGTGGGGGCAGAAACATATGTGGACAAACCTGCACGATATATTCCCGGTCCCATGCTCTCTCCAATCCATTGATTCGTATCATGAACAAAAACCCTAAGCAGTTCCTCATGCGAATATCTGTTCTCTCTTTCTCTTCTGTGTCCTCGGTTCGTTCGATCGATCACGAGAAACCGCAAAACTTATACTATATGAAGTTTGCAAAAATAAGCGAGTTTTCGATATTAATTTTGATGCATAATTTAGGGAGAATAAATTTTTGAGTTGTGAAAACTTTTTTTTTTTATTCAACTTACAATTAATTTGAATGCATTTGCTTTTTCCAGGTTTTGCAAATTTAATTCTTTCCAAAAGGGGTAATTGGGTGCGACTGTGGATTCCATTCGAAGTCATCCAGGAGAACGGATCTGTTAGGATTAGAAAATCATCCCATCCAACAAAATGTTTCTAAGGATCAGAAACTTATACGACTTGCTACTGGAAGGACGTCTACCACTGCGGTAAAGATTTTCATAATAGATGATGAATAACAAAATTTTTTTAGGAAAAATAGGAAGTATGCAGTAAATACTTCAGGTTTGTTAGGATAAGAAAATAATCCCACCCAGCAAACTGTTTCTAAGGATCAGAAACTTATATGACTAGCTACTGGAAGGACGTCTACCACTGAAGGTAAAGATTTTCATAGTAGATGATGAATAACAAAAAATTTTGAGGAAAAATAGGAACTTTACAATAAATACTTCAGGTTTGTTAAGATTAGAAAAAGATCACATCCTATCAACAGTTTCCAAGGATCAGAAACTTATATGGCTGAAGGAAATCTACCACTGGCGGTAAAGATTTTCATAATAGATGATGAATAACAAAAAATTTTGAGAACTGGTTAATAGAAACTATACAATTAGAATCTGTTAGGTCTGTTAGAAATTAGGAAAAGATCCCATTCACCCAACAGTTTCTGAGGATCAGAAAGTTATGTGACTACCTATCTACCAGAAGGCAGTCTACCACTGATGGTAAAGATTTTCATAGTAGATGATGAATAACAAAAATTTTAGAGAACTGACAAATAGGAACTATAAAAAAACACTTTTTAATACATCATAATTTCGTCGGGTTAGCGCAATATCATACTTATTCGATAAACAAGGCAAGAACATACTTATTCAGAAAAGAGGCAAGAACATGCTTATTCAAAATATAAAGTAAAAACAAACGAATTTGCAAATTAACCTTTTTAATCTGACTTTAAATTATCAAGAATATTATAATTTTATTTCAATAATACTTTTCATATTAGAAAAACAAAATATTAAAAAAATTATTCTCAATGGAACTAAATAAAAGTTATTATTCGTAAAACAATTGTACAAAAGTAAAATTTAAAATCTGACTAAAAAGGTTAATTTGCGAATTCGTTTGTTTTTCCTTTATATTTTGAATAAGCATGTTCTTGCCTTTTTTCTGAATAAGTATGTTCTTGCTTTGTTTGTCGAATAAGTCTGATATTGCGCTAACCCGACGATTTACTGTGCTCTTATTTCAAAAATGCTATTTTCTTATTAGTTTCTCTATTGAAAAATGGCGAGAATACTTACTTTTTATAAATATATCACTTAGTCTCAGCCCCTAAATAGAAAATAGAGACTTTCGGCAAATAAAACTAAGAGTATTTTCAGTTTTTAAAAATATAACATTTAGTCTTATTCTCTAAAGGAAAAATAATGACTAATAATATTAGGCTCAAACCTTTCGTATTTATATTAAAACTAAAAAAAGGAAAGGACCGAGTGCATATAGACATATCTCGCTGCCGACATCTGTCATGCAGAATGCGCGGCTACATATCAACATTTCATTACATTATCGATGTTACACACATACATAAATCGTAGAGTGGAACTTCTATCGCTCTTTTAAAACATTAATATCTTAATAAATAATTAAGTATTTACCTCAAATTATGCATAAATGGAATCTGGGATTATTAATTTATTCATTTCAATCGTTTTTTAGAAATATTTTAGTGTTTATCGTTATATTTTCCACCTCTAACCGAGTCGTGACCGAATCGTGACTATGAACTCGGTCACAGTCCGGTTTTACCTAACCGCCAGGGTTTGTGAGGATGAGAAATAGATCCCATCGAACAAACAGTTTCCAAGCATTAGAAACTAATATGACAGAAGGAAGTCTACCACTTGTGGTAAAGATGTTCATAGTAGATGATGAATAACAAATTTTAAGAACTGATAAATAGGAACTATACAACATTGGCATTAAAGTACATCAAAATATAAGTATTAAATAAATATTAAATCTCTAGACTGGAGACTCAAAATATTTTACCTAAACATATTTGATAAAATCATTTTTAGTCCTTTAGTTCCATAATTTATTTTCTTTAAAAGACCTCAGCGTTTTTTCCTCATATTCTCGTATTCAAAAATATATTGCCTTATTTGTCAAGCTTTCAAGACCACGAAAAAATATATATTGCATAATTTTTGAATGCACTATTGCGCGTGAAAAAAAATTCCGAATCTGTTTAAAAAAGGCGAGAACTGAATTATTGAAAAAAGTAATCAAATTCGATGCTGATAAAAATGATAATATGAGGCGCATTTTGCAGTCGCATGAAAAATAAAACGTGACTTCTTGAATTGTAAATAATAAACAGTTTTTTAAATTTGTATATTGATTTTTCGATCAAGATAGTTATTTTTTACGACAAGCGAGAGAAAAAGCTAAAAATAAACTAAATATTCAGAGCAAGAAATTTTTTTAAGAAAAAAATATAGTCATATTTTTAAAAAACCAATAAGAATGTTAATAACAAAGTCATTGGACTTAGAGGTACAAAGAGTCAAAAACTTGATGAAGAATTGCAGTTAATATAATATTTATTTTTACCCTGAGATTTAAGGTCGTAATAATCATTATTGAAACGTGTCCCATTGCGGACAATGATGCATAAAAAATAGTCCACTTTATCACTTCTCAGCGAGGAATCATGTAAATATATTACCTCGGAAGTCGGTCATTTTTAATTTATACTCAAGAAATTCTTTCCCTTTATTATTCTTTCACTGGTAGATAAGATTTGTAACAATTATAACTCTTTAGAAGATGATTAAAAAATTTTTTTTCGACTTTTCTACGTCCTTAAACAGAAAGAAGAAAATAGTCTAAAATCTAAAAGAAGAAAATGATTAGAAAAGGATTTCTAACAAATAATTTTCGTCTCACACAAAAATAAAGTTTTAACTGATGAGTAATTAAAAACATTAGCCACATGTTCTTCATTAACAAGAAGACGAACGAAAGTCGAAAAGAAAATTCAAATAAGAATTATCCAAGTAGATACTCATTTTTATCAACAGAAGTTAATGCATCTGCTGAAAGTGGATTTGTCGAGTATTTCTACTCCTGCAGACGGATTGTCAAATCATTATAGGTAACTCTCGCTTATCATCAGAGTTAAGAGTTACCGGTAAAGTACCTAAATTATCGACGCACATTCAAGTCTTAATTATAATTAATTTAATATTTGTAATTTACAGAATCGAATATTATTCAGAATGGCGGAAGTATTGGAACAAAATCTTAGGTTTGTTTAGAAAAAGGAATTTGTAATTTACACAATCGAATACTATTCAGAATGGCAGAAGCATTGGAACAGAAATAAAGGTTCAAGTACTCAGGTTTGTTTACAAAAAAAATTATTTGTAATTTATACAATCGAATTATTATTCAGAATGGCAGAAGAATTGAAACATAAACGTTCCAATTCCCAAGTAATAGGTTTAGAAAAAATGTATTTGTAATTTACACAATCGAATTATTATTTAAAATTGCAGAAGCATTTTGGAACAGATTGATAAATTAAAAAAATAATATTTTACTTTTGTCAATGTTAACTTTAATAAGCGTAACACATAATGTACAAGAATAATACACCGAAAAATAATCACACGCACTCACACCTCATCGTTTAAAACCTCAATTTTTGTTTCTTGCATTTTATCAAACTAGCCACGAATTGTGAACAACTAATATATTTATTTATATATATATATAAGTTTTGTTTAACGTCAGGTAAGTTTTAAGTTTGATACAATTATTATACAATTTAAAAGTATCATAAAAACACACGTGCTTACCTCTTAACACACATAATTAAGGCCTAGGAATCTTATTAATTCTACTCTAAATTTTTTTTTTTGGTAGCATTCATAATTATTGTTTTTTTGTGGTTGAATCCATGTTAGGTGGCAGGTGCTTAAAGTGACAAACGACTCTATAATTTTTTTTTTAAACTGCAACGTTAGACGAAAGATAATTTAATATTGTTTAAGAAACAAATAACTTACAGATGTTTAATTTCTAAATTGGGTTACTCCCAAAGGACTTGAATTAGACGAATCCACACATGGTTTCAACTCTTTTTTTCTTGCTTTGTTATTCACAAACTCTTATACTAAAAGCAATATATGCTTTTGAAATTATTTTCCATTCTGTTTTTAATTAACACCTATTTTTATTTTTTTTTCTCCATTAAACATTCAAATGGTCACTATAGGTGGGTTTTAGAAACGAAAAAATCTATTTTCACAAGAATAAGGCAGTTTTTTTACAGGTTTCCATAAATTTACGGAAGACGGAATTGTTCGGATAATTTTACAATTTATGTGGAAACAAATATGTCAATGAAAGTATGCTGTAAAGAAAGATTTTGCAAAAAAAAAAATACTAGATGAACATTCATTACTGAATGAAAAGTTTTCTTTCTAGTTTCAATTATTTTTACAATTCACAATTATTCACTCTACTTCACTATACAAAATGTCAAGTTTACTGTACATGAAATCCACTGTTAAAATATTAATTTTGTTCTCAATGTGTTACACGCCTATTTTCTTTTAGCGTCAATGAATATTTTTTATTCTCATTTTCATAATGATATGTTCTATGGGGAATTTTATTTTTTAAACTTTTGCTACACTTCATCTAGATTTGATTCGTTATTTAATTAATGATAATAATCTTGTACTTCAAATAATTTATTTTTATATATTTAAACTAAAATTTTGGCTGAAAAATAAATTGAAAAAGTTTTTCTCTTACATTTTCCATAAATATACCTGTTTTTAGTGTTATATATACAAAAAGTGGTTATTATAGACATTTTCTAAGCTCTACATTCAGAAGCTCATAATTATTCGTGTAATGCTTTGTACCCTTTTACAAAAAACTATGTATCGCCTTATTGAAGGTATTTTCTATATTCTTTAATTAATTTCAAGATTTTATTAAAATAAATTACTTTACATTTAAAACTAAATCTATTTCACTAAATAATCTTTATGCATTTTGTTTTAATTGCAATAAGTAATACAATTTTCAATTCGAAATGAAATATTTTTAATGATTCAATCTGGAAATAGGAAATTTTTTTTACAGAAATAAAAAATTATAGTTTTTTAATGAAACTGTTCATTTTATAGCACCGAGTTACGGATCCATTGTACATTTGTTCTATCACAGTAAACATATACATTTACATAACAACAAAAATAAATTTCTTTCTGCAAAAAAATATTAAAAGTACTTTCCAGATAACAATCGTTTTTCGGCGCAAAGTTATATGCACAGAGCTTTAAATTCTAAAAGCATTTTGTTATCTGGACTTCTAATTCTTTTATTTCTAGATTTTTGAAATCAAAATTTCATGAACTATGGCAAAGTGTGGCGGACCGTGGAAAAAATAAATGTTCATTAATTATACATCTTTGATTCAGAGGAAAACATTTTTTAATCAAATCGAATCTTTATAAAATCATTTTTCCTTAAATTCTTTCTTTCACTTATTTTAATTAATGTGACAGTTGAGAAAATGTGTGCAATTATAAATATGCCTAAAGTGGACAAAAATAATTTAATAATATTAAAATTATTTTGAATAAGGTAATTAAAAATCATGTCCCTGTTTCATTTTTCATCGCAGTCAGTCTTAATCTTCAGTCTATTTTTAATTTAAGTGAAAAATGTATTTCTCTGAGAAAAGAAAAATTTCCTAGCGTCATCCTTGATAAATAATTTATTTTTTTCTTTTCCGTTAGTATTTGAAAAATTGTGGTATAAAAGTGAAAAACATGAAAAATTTTAGTACACAGTAGTACACTTCTGAAAAAGGTTAAAAATGTTTTTCTCCGAACCAAAAATCAAAAATTATTAACACTAATTTATAAAAACAAAATGAAATTTTAATTATCTTAAAAGTCTATAGTGCCCTGTGACCAATGAGTGCAATCATAATAATTTCAAGATTCACACTTCTAATTCCTTTACATTCGTACATTTATTCATTTTTGTATCATCGGTACTATATTTTTTTTTTAAAGACTGTGCACTTTTCAGGCCATTAAAATTGATTCAGAAAACCAGTATTTTTTTTTAAGAACCCCCTCACCATTTTGGCTCAATTATTTCTTTAAAAAAAGAAAAAGTCTTTATTTCTATCGAAAGCACAAAAAAAAATTGTTACCATACTTCACATTTGTGTGTTGGATTCATTTTTGAACCCAAGGGACAATTAAATTCGGTAGAAAATTCTGGAAGATTTGATAATGGACCTATAACACGAAATTTAGCAGGACAGTGTGAATCTTTTTCAATTTGAAGACCTATTGCTTCTGATGTGACAGCAGAACACCAAACCTGGGAATTTAATTTATAAAAATGTAAAAAGCGTCTTCTAGTCTAACGATAAAGGTTTCTATTTGAAAAAAAATCTTTATTACCTGGGCAAAGTTAAGGAAAAATAATTGTCGATGTGTCATATTAAGACCAGGCAATTGCAACTGATCCTTATAATTCTTAGGCGTCGTAATATAGGCATGATATGCAGCTTTTAAACCTCCATTATCAGCTATATTTTCTCCTAAAGGAACAAATCAATTACTAAAAAATTCCCCAACTTTCCAACAACAAAATTTGAAGGATGTAAATTTAGTTTTGTAATAGTACCTAAAGTTTGTTTTCCATTAACATGTCGTCCGTCAATTTCAAATTGACTGTACTGTTCAACAAAGCATTGGGTTCGATTTTTAAATTTCTCAATTGTTGCATTATTCCACCATTGATGTAAATTCCCATGTAAATCATATTCCCTGCCTGAAAATAATCAATTAAAACTTTTCCTTTTTCTAACTTTCAGTAAAAAGAGGAAATGAACCATGATACCTTGATCATCAAAACCATGGGTTAGTTCATGACCCATCACGACACCCATTCCACCAAAATTGAGACTACTTGGATTTTCCATATCGTAGAAGGGACTCTGTAGAATACCGGCGGGAAAAACTATTTGATTCTTTGTTGGTGTGTAATAGGCATTGACAGTTGGTGGTGTCATTATCCAAGTTGTTTTATTAACCGGCTGATCAAGATTCTCCAAACTTTTCCTTAAATTATACTTGTTCACTCTTATGTTGTTGAGAAAATACTCGTTTTCCTTTATCTGCAAACTTTCGTATCGTTCATCTAACTCCTTTGGATTTAGTATGAAATTTGGAAAGCCAATCATGTCAGTGATAGCGTTTGCCTTTTCATCAGCTGACTTTCTCGTTTCTGCGTCCATCCAATTTAAATTTTTCAGATTCTTCGTGAATGCTTGTCTGATTTCGTTGATCATCATCTCAGCCTGGAAAAGAATGAATGTACAATAAGGCAGGAGTATTGGAAGAGTAAGGTTGTAATTCTCAGGTAGGTTTAGGAAAAAAATCGCATTTGTAATTTATACAATCGAATATTATTCAGAATTTGCAGAATCATACCATTGGTTTACTTTTGCCATGGAACACATCCCTGACGAACATTGCGCCAATGGCAAAACCCATAACATTATTTGCATCACTAACACAATATCGCCATTGTTCTTCCCTGCCCTCAGATCCAATGAGAGCTTTTCTAAGTCCCTTGTAAGCATCTCGAAACGGTTTCGAGAGGCAAGCAGTCAATGATCTGACAGTTTGCCATATGAGGTAGTTATTCAAAATTCTGAAAAAAGCAAAAATACAATTGTAATTGTCTCAAGAAGACTTAGATTAAAAGACAATTAATTTTTGTAAACCCTAAACTTTTTCTTGCGATAGCATACACACACATACACCTCGACATCACGTGTAATTGACGTACACTTTTCCTTCAGTCGTGTTGCTATACTCTTGCACTAGTTTGTTCAACTTGGTGAAATACTCAGGCGCATAATTAACAATGTTTGTCTTGCTGTTGACTTTTTTACCCACAGGAATTGTTGCATTTTTAAAATAATCTACCCATGATATCTGCAAGAATTGAACAAATTAAAAAATCCAAATAATACTTTTTATCATCTTATTTACTGATCGCACTGAATTACTACATCTGGTTTAGATGTCGTAGATTTTAGTGATGCAATTAAGAAACTTACGAAAGGAGCCATTTTTTGCAGATCTCCTATTCTCATGAGATTGTACATTTTTTCATCATCCCTTCTCTCCTCTTGTGGAATCGTAATCTCCGCTATTTTTGTCTCGAAATTAATGATGTCCTGCATTTGTCTCCTAGTGGAATTTTCCTCACCTCCTAACAGCACACCAATCTTTAAAATATTTAAATAGATAAGTATTTAATAAATTATTTATTATTTAATTATTATTATCTTCTCTTAGTCTCTTTATTAAAATATGTCGTACGTTAATATTACAATTAGAAAAATTAAATAGTTACACCCTCACCTTAGTCATGTATTCCAAATAGGCCACTAGAACCTTCTCATGTTCCGTTTTATTCAAATAATTATCTATCGTGGGCAAGGTCAAACCACCCTGATCGATCTGGAAGGAAAGAATCATTAGTTAGATAGATTCATGATATTAAATTTAATTCATGGTATAAATTAAAATTAGTATTTGAACGACTTTATCAATAGTAATAAAAATGAGTCTAAGATGGAACTTTAATTGGTGCTTTATTGTCAGTAACCGGTTAGGGTACTCACTTGTATGATATGCCTACTACTATTTCTATCATCTTCATTAACAGCCCAAGAGAAGAGCCCACCCATATTGTAGCCATTCTGCAATATATGCATGCTCTTCTGTAGAGACCAATTGCTAATATTGAATTTTCCTGTTATATTCCAACCTCCAACATCGTCCAATAAATCAAGCATTGGTTTTGCCCCTAAAGCTTCTATTGTCTCATTTACATCCATACATGATGAATAATATAACTTGGCCTTCTTCTCAGCTTCCGATTTCATTTCAGATAACTGTTTCTCTGTCACAATAGATGAACAACGAAATTAGCATTCTTTATATTATTAAAATTATTATTATTACTATTACAATTACTATTAGTATTACTATTACTATTATTACTATTATTACCATTATTACTATTATTAGTATTATACATTATTAATATTATTATTCTAATTATATAATTAAATTCCACTGAATAAAATGAATTCCAATTCTAATTATAGTTGTACATTAAGAACAATGTTTATAAAGTACCCCAAAGTGAATAACTCACCAAGAACATTTTTCACTACCAACTGATTATCTTGTTCTAATTTTCCGAAAGTTCCCCACATACTTTTACCATCCGGTATTGGATTCTTCTTTATCCAACCGCCACATGCGTATTCGTAAAAATCATCACAGGGGTGAACGGAATTATCTATACTATTAATTATGGAGGCTGCCACTGTGACACTATGTGGAGTGATATAATGTGAATCACCTTCTGAGAAGAAGAAACGTAATTTCGTTTGATTATTAGAAGAATTAATCATGAGACTTAATTAATATTAATAACTGACTGATAAGTTATAAGTTATTATATAAGTTTGTCGATAAAAAATTAATTTCCTAATTACCTTTAGGTAATGAAACATGAAGTAGTACTTTCGATTGGTCCTTTGCATATTGGACATTAATTACAATTAAGAGGATTATTATGAGTAATAATAATCCACAAATGTTGACTAAGAGAAATCTCTCTAACTTTGTTCTATGTCGCCATAAAGATACCCCTTGCATTATACCCGACTGGAAAATACATAACAAGGAATTATTACTAAAATCAGAGATTATGAATAGTAGTAGTGATTTACGCAATTGAATTCTATTCAACATGGAACGCCAGTGCAGGATGGTGAGTTTTAATATTTTTATTTAGTTTTTAAAAGAATTTGTAATTTATAGAATCGAATGTTGTCCACCATGAAAGATGCAGGATGTTACCATCCTGCATTTTTCATGATGAACAACATTAGCTAATATAGTTTCCATGACACTTTATTTTAATGAAGCTGAAACTGGCACCCATCAGGTATCAGCACTAACTTAATTTAAATTTCAAAGTTAAATATTTTTTCTGTTTGATCAACATCAAACTTTAGAAAATTAATTGTATGCTGACATCTGGCTATTATAGGCTACTTAAACAATATTTAACTTTAAAATTTAATTATCAAAATTGAATGGGTGCTCACAACTTGCTGAAAGTTTCAACTTCATCTTTGTTTAGATTTTAATAGTATTTGTAATTTATACAATATCGAATATTGTTCAGCATGGAAGATGCAGGATGGTAAGTTCTAATATTCCAGTTTATTTATAGTTTTTAAAATGATTTGTAATTTACACAATCGAATGTTATTCGGAATTACAGAAGCACTGAAAGTGGAACGTTACAATCGAACAGAAATGTTCCACTAGTCAGGTTTGTTTAATAAAAATATTTTTGTAATTTTCACAATCGAATATTATTCAAAATTGCCGAAGCATTGGAACAGAGACGTTTCAAGTCTGAGGTAAGTTTAGAAAAAAAGAATTTGTAATTTACACAATCGAATTTATTCTAGATGGAAGCTTTCAGTTAGTTTAGAAAAAAGTATTTGTAATTTACACAATCGAATATTATTCACGACGGAAGATGTAAGACGGTAATTTCTAATTTTAAAATCACTTTTAAATTTATATATACTGAAGGGTAACTAATTGATTCTAAAAGTAAAGTTATTAAATTATTAATTATTAAAGAACTTACTGTTCTAAAAATAACTTTTTTTATAACTTAAGCTAGTTTTTGTTTAGTTAGCTCTGGTACTCCATGAGACGCAGATATTAAAAAAATTAATAACCCTGACAACTTTATTCCACAAAATGGGAAAACATACCAAAAAGGTTTTTAAGGTGAATTTCTGAGCTATTAAAAAAAAATTCCCTTTTACTTACGGAATGATATCGAATATGTGTAGCAGATGTGCTTATTCTTTCGCTGTTTAATGCGATTGAACCAATACTGCTATTATCATCATCCTCAAATTCTGCCTGTTTATACCTCGTCATCTGCAAAAAAAATATTTGACATTTGACTATTAATTATTCTTTAAAGATTAGAAAAAAATGTAGAAAAAAATATATATTTAACTAACATGTTTCTACCTAATGTTTTATGCATAAGAAAAATTTAATAAATAATTTTAAATTTAAATAAATAATATTTAATAAATAATTTTTTAGAATAAAATCAAACTAAACTTTATTTAAACTAAAATGTATAATGAATGTTAAATATATAATTTATTTTAATTAAATTTTATTCCACAAACATAAATTATTTATGCCCTAATTATTCATATATACGGGCTTTGCTCTCTTAATATTTGCGGTGCGCTGATAAAAACTATGTAAGATAAACATTCATAGTAATTTGATCACGATGGAACAGTGGAAGTGAGAAATGTCAACAAAAGTATTAAAACACATTTTCAAAGAGAATTTATTGTCTTAATAAAAATTTAATTTTTAATTTTAATAAAAATTTAATTTTTAATTTTAATAAAAGTTTAATAAAAATATAATTTCTAAATTTACTATAAATTAATGTGATAAAAATTTATGTTTTAAATTTAATTTTTAATTTCAATCCCTCAATTAAAATTTTAAATACGTAAAAGTCAGTAAAGAAACAAAATAATCTAATAATGAAAAATTGAGAATTGAAAATGTAGAAAATTTATTTAAACTTTATGAGATTCAATAAGAATTTTTTTTAGATTCATAAAGTATTCTAGTTATATTGATAAATGGAAGTTAAAGTTTAGTGATTGACAATGTGTTTAAATTTGAAAATGCAAAATTGCGCTTGTCAGGAATAACTAAAGACGCAATTTTAGTATGAACTAAAAATATAACGTATTTTTGGCGCTCTACTCTTAATTTTGCAACAAATTTCATTCGCGTAATATTTTTCAAATTCTCGAAAAAAATATCGATATGTCTATATATTTACGTAAATTTCAATGTTCAATTTTGAATCTCTATTTAAATAAAAGGTATTTAAATATTATTATATCATACATTATAATTATATTATATATTATATAGCGCTGATATTATATTAAATATTATATAAATATTAATAAATATTAATAATAATAATAGTAATAATAATAAAATAATAAAATAATATTAATAAATAACTAAACCAAAAACAAAATATTTATATATTATATTAAAAATGTAAATACTATTTAAATATTTATAAAATTAGAGAAAAATCTTACTTAACTGATGATTAATAGAAAAATTACATTTGAATTTATATTGAGTTGTAAAATTATGTAGTGAAATAAAAAAAATTTATTTAATTGTTGACATTGACGTATGTATACTGTGTTGCAAAAAATTAACGAAAAAAATTCCAGGTATATTTTCCAGTTATTAATTTAACATATCTACAGTCAAACAACAAATATGAAAATTTCTAATAAATATTTCTCCAATTCTTCGTATAAGAAAGACTAAAAATTAAAATCAATTTTCAACTATATATGGTTTACATAAATACATAAAGTTTGTTCACTTCTTAAAATTTTAAAAACAAAATTTTAAAAAACCAAGAAATTTACTTTTTGTTTCAAAAAAAAGCCGGCGGCGGGTTTTTTTTAAAATTAATTTTCCATTTTCTCACTTTTCTTCCCTTTTTTTTAAATTTCTTTGCCACTTTCCTTTCTTGCTCACTTAATTAAAAACCATTTTTCTCTTTCGCAAAAAGAAATTTTTTTTCCACGAGTGTTTGAAATTTTTTTTTTTTTTTTTGGTTTTTCCAAAAAAAGCACCACTCTTAATCAAAAATGAAAGGGCAGCACAAAGAGAACTAGAAAGACTGATGGCAAAATATGTGTCGCTACTAAAACTGTTCCATCCATCCAATATTATGTATGTTTGTGTATTTTAATGTGAAGAGACGCGCAAGCGTCACAACACAGAATCACGCTTTTCATTCACTTATATACATAAATCTTTGCTATATATATATAAATACAGAGAGCAAGAGAAGAATAGAGAAAATTTATTTTCTTTATTGTGTTGGTGATGGCGTGCAACAGGAAGATAGTACTTGAGCTTTAAGGTAGTTTCAAGTAATTCGCACCAATCCATTCGACATATAGCGAAACGCATTAAAAGAGATTAAATATTTTTATATTTCTATATATATATACATAATATGAAGTAGTAGGTTAGTGGTGATGCTTAATAAGGTCAGGGCTATACTGAATGCAGTGAAGAAGCTGAGTATAGAAAAGAAGATTATGGACCATCAGATTAGATGCAAACTGATATCGTTAATCTCTCTAACAATTGAATATATGAAAAATGTATTATTTCTATTCTATTGTTGTGTTGAATACAGTTTTTTTTAGGAGAAACATATTTAACCATAAGCCTATACTATTTTATCATTTTCAAAACTGAAAAAAAAATTATAGCAGATCTACTATAATTTTTTTTTTAAATTGAAAAAAATCTTTCATTTTTAATTTTCAAAATCTGACATCAAAATCGTATTTATAAACCCAAAAAAATCCGCTGAGTATGAAATTTTAAGCGAATTCAATTAATTTTCAATTTTTAGGTCCGCCATATTGGATTCTCCATTTTGAATTTTGAAAATCTAACATTAAATTCGTATTTTTCAACTCCAAGAACCTTCGAGGAGGAAATTTTAAGCATATCCTATATTAGTTTTAATTCTTACGTCCGCCATATTGGATCCGCTATTTTGAATTTTGAAAATCTGACAACGAATTCGTATTTATCTACCCCAAAAACCCCCGAGTATGTCATTTTAAGCGAATCTGATCGATTTTCAATTTTTAGGTCCGCCATATTGGATCCTCCATTTTGAATTTTAAAAACCTGACACGAAATTCGTAAAAATTGATCCAAAAGACTCCTGTATGGTAAATTTGGAAAAAAATATAAACTTTTTAGATTCTGATCGTCGCATATATTGAATTTGAATAATAAAATAATTAATCATCATAGATATTGCTTTCAGAAATTAAAATTTTTTTATTATATTTTTATTTATTACTACTATTATTATATACTACTATTATTTTTGACATTAATTCTAAAAATAAGTAAAAAAAAGACACATTTTTTTTTTATTTTCATGCATAAAATAAATGAAAAGAAAAAATTTCTTATTTTCCTGAACGTAAATTGTAATTTGAGAAAATTATCTTTATTAGGCTAATGGAAAAAAAACACGTGTCGATATAGCGAAATTATTTTTTCTATGACATCCCTTTTTGTAGATGGTAGAAATTTTTTGATATGGAAAAGTAAACGCCCCCCGGGGGAAATGATAAGTAAACATGTGGTGTAAAAATATTGTGCGTCACAATACACACATCAGATATGCGATAGAAACAATTTTTAATTTCACTTTTTAATTATAATTAGCATCATTCATTGTCCTTTTTAATTTAACAAAAAAAAAGAAAACAAAAACAAACCCCACTGACATTTATTGATTTCATTTTAAATTCACTTTGTCAATTACATCATTTATCTTTCTATAAAACCCTAAATCCCTATCTTAGCGCCAAATACATTTTAATTAAATAACTTTTGTTTACAATTGACAAGATAAAATCCAATATTATCAAGGGTAAATTAAATAGAATTTATTCCCTATAATTTCGGATAAGTATTTTCGAAAAATTTGGAAAAAAATACTTCTAAAGATTGAATTTATAAATTTTCGATTTTATGAATATAACGAAATCTGAAGAATATATATAAATAAAATTAGAAAATTTAAATTTCATCCAAAGTGAAATTTCGCAGAAGATTAAAATTTCAATTTATTTCAGAAATTTTCTTTATTTTGGAAAAATTTACTACTTACCTTCACTGACATTTTGCTGGATCACTGTCACGCACTATGTACACTGTTATCTATTAGAAATTATAAATTAATTATATTTTTAAAAATTTGTTTCCCTTTTTTTTGCAAAAGGGAGGGGAGTTTTAATAAAAAAACAAGTTTATAGACCTGTTAAAGAATTGTAAACTAACAATAAGACATTTTATTGTCGAGAGCATGAAACTGGTCTTGTGCACTAGGATGCTACCCCCTCTTCAAACCCTTTATTGATTTCCAACCAAGTATAACGTTCTCCCTGCCATCTTTGCTATAGATTTTGAAAAACACCTTAAAAACAAAATAAAAAAAAAGTAAAACATTGATTCTCAACGAAAATTTACTATATATTTATTAATAAATAAAAAATATATATAAAAAATAAAATTTACTAATTTTAATTTATATAAATATAAATAAATAGACAACATTGTATTTGTTAATATATATAAACTATAAATAAAATATTTAAATTTTTAATCAATGTTTAAAATTTAAATATTTATTCCAATTTTTGTCTATCAAATTTCTATCATCCATATAATTACTCTACTTTGACTAATTCACTACTACTAGGAAATTTTTATAAACATGCAACAATTATTTTATTTTTATTCGCAATTATCACTTGATTACCAATTTCAATATGCTTCAAATTTTTTAAAATAAAATAACACTTTTAAATAATTAGCTTTGACACTATTTTAATCATTTTAACAGATTTTTAATTTTTTAAACATGAAACCTTTTTTATTTTTGTTCGCAATTTTCATTTAACATTTTTTATTTTTGTTTGCAATTTTTACTTAAATACAAAGTTTAATATGTTAAAAAAATTTTGAAATGAAATAAAACTTTTTTTAATCAGTTTAACACCATTTTAACACTTTTAAGACATTTTTCAAACATAAAACATTTATTTTTGTTTGAAATGTTCACTTAATTACCATGTTCAATATGTTAAAATTTTTTTTTAAATAAAATGTTACGCCACCGTAACCTATTTTCAATAATAATAATAATATGTAGAATAATAATTAATAATAATCATAATAAAAGTTAATAACAAAGATTGTCATTTACATATTATTATAAATAGTAACTATAAATAATAATAGATAAATATAACAAACAACAATAATAAATAATAATAAATTGTAATAATAAATATTAACAAATAATAACAAAATTGTAATAATTAACAAAATTGCAATAATAAATAAATAATAATAAAAAACAATAAATTGTAATAATAAATATTAACAAATAATAACAAAACCGTAATAATAAACAAATAACAATAATAAATTGTAATAATAATTAGATAGATATAACAACTTTAACAAACAATAATAAATAAATATAAAAAATAATAAATTGTAATAATAAATATCAACAACAACAACAGAATTGTAATAATAATAAATTAGGAAATAATAACAACTTTAATTGTAACAAAATTAAACAATTGTAATTAACAAATAACATAACAAATTATAAACAATTAATAACAAAATTCTCCTCATCTGAAACATCAAACATTTATGTGATACATTTGAAAATAAATAAATTTTTCCAAAATCTAGGTACCTGTTTATAAACCAATTTTTACAAAGTTTCTCCCCTTTTGGAATGAAAAAATAAAAATAGTTTGAAATAAATGTTTTTTTTAATTTTGAAGTAATCTGTGAGACTATTACATTCTCTCATTAATCATGATGATCAAATACGAACTTTTCTTTGGTTATCCCATTTGAAAAATTTGACGTAAGAAATGACGCACTTTGGAAGTTAAAAATTACGTATGAAAATATGTTGAATAATGTAAGAAATGAAGTAATATTTTTGTCGTCAAATTATTATTATACCTAAATGTAAAATTTTCAATTGCAATCTTTCCTTTTCTCATGGCCAGAACTGGTTTTCTTTAATCTGAAATAAGAAAATTAAAAAAATGTCTCAATTTGTACCATTTCGGCTATGATATCACGTCTGGTAAGGCCGAACGCAGACTGAGAGCGCAGCGGCAGTGCCGGTCCTTATATACTGCTCCCAGTCGCGCGCTGATTGGTAGACCGCCGCAAGGTGGGGGTATCCCCCACGAGTGGGGACTCGCAGAGTCAGACGACAACTATTGAAATCCTATTAAAGAAAAACTCAATTTTATGTGAATAAATATTCGTGTCTTTATTTCAACAAGACATTTTTTTACATTAGATACAATATTTTACAATGTTTTATTAGTTTTTCGTTTTATTCTTCTTTTTTTTGTCCCTTACGATAACAAATGATTGCATAATACATTCAAAGGATGTGTTCAAAGATATTCTTTTATTCCCAATTTTTCATCAATTTTTTTCTGCACACTACTCACACAAACACATTTATTATTTTTTGGGCCGCTAATTTATTTTATTTAGTGTTGTTTTTTTTTCATTTTTAATCTTATACTTTTTTTTGCGCGAGTATGTTTAAATATAATATTACGTTTATTAATATTACTTTTAATTGAATTTCTGGCAATAGCTCGATTAATCATTATATTTCTGGACAATCGGAGCTTATTTTATATAATCATTAATTAGGATCAATTACAAAAAATAATTGTGTATAGTTTTTTATTCACAATTTCACATCTTTTTTTTTTAATGTCTTAAATCTGCAAAGATAAGCATTTTTTGTTATCTCTTATCCAGATACTTTCTTATCTATGACTTTTGTTTCTATTGGCACGTACACATTTGGACCTCTATTTTCAAAAAATTAGTACTTTTCGCTGGACAATTTCCTCGTTTACTAATGACTAAAATAAATAATTTAGACATTCATGTGAAAAAAAAAAGTTTATAATTATTATTACAATCTACATTAAACTTTTTGAACAAGAATCTTTCTTTATATTCTAATTTTTGTTTTAGAATTTTAAGTTTTAATTTATCTGAAAGTTACGTTTCTTGTTATATTTTTCTTTTGTTCTCGTCAACAATCG